TATATCGGTTCTTAGCACCCCTGTCGAGCTTCTTAGCATCATCCTGCATAAGAAGTGATGGTAAATTAATAAGAAACGAGTACAAGGTAGATTAATATAAATATTTAACTCAAAATAGGGCACAAAACTTACGTGGAATATGAAACCAATCGTATCGTTATAATCCAGAAACTCCTTCCACTGTCTTCCAATGCTTAGCTGAAAGTTACAAAATTATGTGACAGATGGAATTTAACTAACCCACTGAGAAATGCACAATGCGCAAGTATATAATATCTATAGGTACTAAGGAAAACCATAGCAAGCACAGATTCTATGGTGTTAGCCATGCAGTTTCAACCTCCTTAAATCTTCAGTTGAAAACATTCAATGCCAAAACCACAGTCAAACAAGACTTTATGCTGCTAAGCAAAATTATAGTATCACAATTTTTCCAAAACTCAATGGTCAACACAAACATCGACGATTGTCATCTTGATATGGACATGTATGAAAATTGCAATACAAGCATATGTATACACAAGATTTGATAAGGTGTGATTCCATATGAGTTTGATACGAGATTAAAATTAAACCTACAGAAACGCAAGATTAAGTAATATCTCGATTTAATTCACAAGTCATTTGGGGAACTCTACCAATCTTGCAGCTATTAAATACACGAAAAAGTTTAAAAAGCTAGGGAATTGATAAAATAGAAGATGCACAGAGAACTGATAATTATCAACACAATCTACAACAAACTGATAAAAAATTTAATATAATCAAACAAACCTGAGCAGCTTCATTTGCAGCATTCTTTGTCCAAATAGAAATTTTCTCTTGCCTTGCTCTGACATTGATAACTGCCCCACAAATCTCGTCACCATAATCAAATTGTTCTCCAATCATTGCCAGTAACTGATTGAGATCCAAAAGACAATTAGGCTGACTGAATATGTCAATGGAAAGATAAACTCACACACACACACACACACACACACACACACAAAAACTGGAACATACCGTATAGAGCCAACAAGTGTCGGATTTGCCCCTCGAGAAAGTAGCAGTCCACTTTCCTCCATTGGCACACACAGGATCTTCCCATTTTGGTTCTATTTTATTCTTGAAACAGTGAAAATCTGCTCCAACTGCCAGCTTGCTAGGGTGGTGTATATTGTTGTAAACACTGCAGCCAAGCCAAAACAATATAAATGTGGTGTAATTCACCAAGATATATAGGGCTCCTTAGAGAACAATGGAAATATCCAATAAAATTAAATACACAATAAAATCGCCAAGTTTGTGGAAGTAACAATGTCCATAAAAGATTAAACAAATAGGCAGAACCAGAAAGTCTAAAGTACAGTAAAACAAAGATCCATCTTTTACTCCCTCAGTCCTTGATCAAAATACAAGCTCAATAAGGTCTCAGCACAACAGAAGTTACAGGGATAAAAAGCTAATGTCACTAGCATAATATGTATACATAGACAGCAATCCTCTTAAATCACAGAGCTTGCACCAGAACAAGAACACTAGCCGAGCCAGAATCCTCCTAAATCACAGAGCTTGTACCAGAACAAGAACACTAGGCGAGCCAGACAAATTCATCAAAATGAGCATTAGATGGCTTTTTCCTACACATATTCAATATTTCAAGCATCGCTTTCATCATAACTAGCTAGCTCTTAGATCACGGACATGAACAGTAAATCACGGAAATATAAAGCCCACAAAACACGAATCTACAGTCACAGAGCCAACACATAAAAGGAATCGAAATCCCAATCAAATAACAGCACACTCTTATGAAGAAAAAAAAAAAAAAATCGTAAAATGAAACACACCTCCAGAAGTCTTCGACGGTGGAGAAGGTATAGATAGGGCGAATTGAGCTTCCCCACGCGGCCTGCTTAGCTTTTGCCGAAGGATTGTCGAACCAGAACGTCCACGAATGCTCCAAGGGGTGCTTCGGAAGCGGCGCCGCCACGGACGCTTTCTCCGGATCGTCGCCGACGATCTCCCCTTCCTCCGCGTCCGACTCGTCTCCGGCAGGATTGTGGTGGTTCTTGGCCATTGATGTTGCATCCTCTGTTTCCTCTTCTACGGCGGTGGCGGTGGCTAAATTCTCAGATTCTTCAACCATCTTTCTTCTTCCTCGCCTTTGTTTCCGATGATTAGCGGTTCTCCTTTGAAGGCGCTGCGATTTTGGGGATTGTGTAAGGTACTGTGTGTTTTATCTGTGGGCTGAAATTTACATTTGAGAAGGAGGTGCTCTTTCCTTGGCCCATTAACTGGACTAGCCCACCTGTAAACAATTTGGGCTGCTTACATGACTGTAATGTTGGGCCCATCAACCTTGATGATCAAATTTATAGGAAATAATGACACCGCCTATCTCTTTGTTAAGACAATTTATATAATTAACCCCACTTATTATTTGGACAAAATTATTCCTTTTGTTTTCCATATATACTCTTTACATGGTT